ACAACCTTCTCCTGAAAGTCAAGACTGAAATGAAGACCCCTGCTATGGCTTCGAGCAGCGAGACACTTGCTACACCTAACTGAAGGACCCGACAAACTATGCTCACCATTGGAATGACCCGCTGGAGGTTAGCCCTCACAAGGCCTTGCTGTCCATCTATGTGGGCCCCCCAAAAACTTGCCGTCAAGGAATCTCGAAAGGACTTCTTGGGATGTGTTTCCAGGCCGACAGTTTCATACTGCTTTTCCATGGAAGCGATTCGGTTCTTCGCTTCAGGGCTCATTCGGCTGGGCCCGACACAGCTCTTAGCTGCTTTTTCCAGGAAAATCATGTCATCTATGATGATACCGGCCATGAAGTTGTTTGTAGGCACTCTACCTCGAAGACTCAACATCTGACTCAAGTTGAAAGCTCTGGCTCGCAAGCCCAAAGAAACATGTGCAGTTTGCGCAAACTGCAAGGGACCAGATAGGATGATCAACAAGGAACGTGTAGTAGTAGTCCCTCAAATCATCCCCGGCCATGACTAGATCTTGGTCCTTGTCAAGTGAGATGTCAAGCAGATTGCTAGCTGACGCCATTGACATGATCCATCGGTTCAAAGGGGGCTGCAGTAAGTTCGGTCTCCTTCCATCCAAAATCAAGCGATCATACTCCAAATCCTTCACAACTGTGAACAAGCCATTCGCAGCGAATTCCCTGACCTCTGAAGGTCGAGCTATCACCAGTCTGTCGGTGTTGTCTAACTTCCGTAGCAGCTTCATCTTCTCAGTATGGCTAGCATGCACCTTTACGGTAGGAAGTTCAACATCTAGCTCCCAAGGTTCACAAGCATGAGCTACAGGGTCTTCATAAAGAGCAAGGCTACGTTCATCTAAAAAAGGACGAGGATCGAACGTCGGCTTTCCCGACATCTTGATTCTGTCTGCTACTATTGGTTGAGCGGCTTCTAGATTATCTTTATTCATCTTTCCTACGACTTCGGGCTGCTTGCTTTCAGCCCCCGTTCTCCGCTGGTAGCGGGCCTTGGAGTACCCAAGGTCCCTTTCATGCTGCGAAGAAATTCCTTCCAACCTGTTTAGCACCTCCTCAAGTGCCTCATGTTTTGAAGCTCCCCGGCCCATATCACTAGGGCCGATTTCAGGAAAGGTTGTCCAAGCTTCACTTAGACGCAAAAACCGCTGAACCACATCCCATTGTTTACAGTTTTGTTTTTGACCTAAACCTATGTGCCAAGGTGCTGTTTTCGGCTTGCTCAGGGCGATCCAGTTCAAAGCCGCAATCTGAAGGCAGACCGCTTTTTTCAATGGAGTCCCAGAGCGTCGTGCACCCTTCTGGAAAACTTCGGGATATGGCAGAGGCATTGGCCATAGTTCAGCTGTGGGAAGGGAATCACACCTTCCATCCGGCATCTGCAGCAGTGACCTCAAAAACAAGCTGAAGTCATTAGCAAAACGTAGAGAATGTCTGGGCAAAGACTCCGGAGGCACCAGGGAGGCAGGAAAGGACCAATGGGACAGCCTGCGAGGCACCCAAAGCTTCTCCACATAAGTTACACTGGCGTTGGACCCTGGAATGTGTCTGACAGGGTCGCTCTGAGCGGCCAGCTCCTCTTGCAAAATCTCATTGGCAAAAACAGTGCCCTGAGCCACAGGCCCTGCCGATTCAGTAACAGGCTTCGCTGCGTCTTCATAAGCACCAGCCCACACCTCACCAGGTTGTGACGGAGGCGGTGAGGGCTCCCTGCCAGATGGCTCATTGAGCAATGCATCATCATCTTGAAAGTGATCACTAGGATCTATGGAAAGGTGGGAGCCGGCACCTGTCACTGGCCGCCGACCGAAAACCGCAGTAGGTTCCGCAAGGAACCCCCGCGCTGAGCAAGTAGAGCTCGGCAAACGGTTCGTGACAGGTGCAGTGGCTTCCCCTCCCATCAGTTGGCATCGGCATTGGCAGCAGGAGCAGACTGCCCCTTGCCGCCTCCATGCTGACTGGTGGCATCTTTGCCTGATTTCCCCTTTGCCTTCCCTTTTGGGTTTGGTTTCGGCGCTGGCTCTTCTCCCTCCTTCCGAGTAGATCTTGAGCCAAGCTTCCTTCTTCGCTCGACGTAGTCGTCGTTCTCCTTGACTGCGGCCACAAAGGCATCGACCCACCTCGGGTCCAGAAGCCGAGAGAATTGTTGTTCCGTTGCTTCTGGATCTGGAAATTGCTGTATGGTGGAGCCGCTTCGAGTGCTATCTCCTGACAAAGAAGCCAGGATCCTCGGTCTATGGACTGTTGATCTGCCTGAGCCAGCATCAGACAAAGTCGAGCTCGGCATTCGTCCACATTGCCGTTCCGGAGACTGTCCAATGCTCCAGCCACACCCCAACTCCACCTCACGGAAGCTGGATAGTTCTGAATGCGGCTGCGATATTGTGCCCAGCCTCGTGCGCTCATCGGCAAGTACCCCAAACCTGGAGCTGCTGCCCGCATGTTGTAGTCTTCCTCCATCAAGGCTTCGATCGTTGTCCAGATCTTCTTCGGCGAATTCACTAGTGCCTTTTTCAGGGCCCTCAAAGCGGCGGCATGGCGTCGACTGGAGAAGCTCAAACTGCCGTCTGCGGCTGAAGAGCTTGCCGAACCAGCGCCTTCTAAGAGGTCTTCCAAAGTCGGTTCTTTCTTCTTGCCTCCTGTGGACAACTTTCCCACTATCTTGGTCAGCTGAGTGAGGGCTGCGGCAACCGGGTCCATACCTTCGGCAAGAGCTGGATCTTCCAGCAAGTCCGCTGGTTCGTCTTCGCTTTCTGACAATGCGTTCTTTCCAGCAGCCGCTTTCCTGGGAACATCCTCCAGCCGTGTAGGCTTCTCCCGAACCAGTTGGCTTACAGCTTCCAGCTGATCCATGGGCACTCCCGATTGGAGGGCTGAGGCCACCACTGTAGGGTCCAGCCCCAGCTTTGTCGCTGCCTGCGCTGCGAGGGGCGGCCAAGTCTTCCAAACCAGACTCGTCTAGCTGTTCTGCTGCTGTGGCGAAGCCGGTAGAAGATGGAGCTCGCTTTGGCTGAACAGCCGGGGCACTTCCGCCTGCCAAAGTTTTGGTCAGCTCGGCAAGGCTGTTCTTGATGAACCCAAAGTCCTCCTCTAGCTTCTGAAACCTTGCCCCGACAGCTGCTGGAATGGTCTCCTCCTCCACTTGCACGCTGAAGCGGGTCTTTGCGGCCTGCTCCAATGCACTTGCAGCTGGCAGACATGGTGCTTCACTTGTCCCAAAATTGAAGTCAGGGGCGTCTTCGTCCCCTATGGCGACTACCTTGTCTATGACTTCGGCAGAGGCGAAGCCAAACCAAACCTTAAGCTCTGTCTCAGGAGAAATGGCTGTCCGGTCAGCCGGGTCTGCTGCAATCACTGCCAAAGAAAGGGGCTTCGCAAGAGCACCTTCTGGTAAGAGTCGACGAGATGCAGTGCGGTGCCAAAGGTCAAAGGGCACTGCAACCAAAAAACGTTTCTGATGGACAGCGATCAAGATGATGCGGGAACTGCGTGGTGAACCACCACGATCTGAGAAGGAGAATTGAAAAATGGGGTATTCTGGGTCTACCCCGCCTTGCTGCAAAACTGTGTAGGCGGCGAGGTCAAATGGGTCACCGTCTATCTCACCCTCTTCTGGCAATTCTGGCAAAGCCTCCTCGGCTTCAGCCATAGATCACCTTGGGCCAACCGTATCCAGCAGTCTCCACTGCCAATTGAGCTTCCCACTTCGACGGGAAACACAGAATCACCAAGGCTTTGGCCACGCTTGACAAAGGGGTGGAGCTGGTTGTAGCTCTTGTAGACCCTCACAGGAGAAGTGCTGATCCTGCCCTCAATGTCACGTACCAAAACGTAGATCCTGTTGGGGAGCTGCACTCGCTCCCGGCCAGACAATCCGCGACTTCCGCCGCCCAAACAACGCAAGAAGAATCGGCCAGTTTCCTTAGCCGCCTCAACTCGCACAGCAGGGTATCCAGTGGTTGGGGAAGAAGGCAAAGGTGAAGTTTGCTCAGCAGCCGCTGAGCTAGGTCCGGGCTCACCAGCAACCATGCACCTCAAACTCTTTCTCAGCCTCGAGCACAGCCACGCGCTCTCGCAGAGACACCTCCTCGCGGAGGACAGCAAGCTCACTGCGCAGAGTGCGAAGCTCAAGGTCCATCAAAGTTTCCGGTGCAAAGAATCACCCTTGTTGCCCCTCAAAAGGTTTTGACAGCTAAGCCTCAACCAAAGGGTAAGATATTGTTTCCAGAGGTAAAGAAATTCCAGAATTGGCCAGAGTAAGAAACCGAGCACAATGCCAAGTCCCACAGAAGGCCAGTGGATGAACTCTGAATGACCAACAGCCAGAGTAGTTGCAGCGACGCTCTCCCAGCTCTCAGGCTGCGCAGCGTTCGAGAGAAAGTAGTCCTTGACCACCCACGCAAGAAAGGCTCCCAACGATGAGCCACCTCCTGCACCTATGGCCACGTCCCGCATGCGATCCTTAAGCCGTGACAGCTGCGTCATTCCCAGAGTTTTCATGAAGGACAATTACTATTTATGGATACATTTTCATGTGTGGATGGTCGTGGTGCATGTTCTATGTTATTTGTTCTGCAGCTGAGTAGCATCAGATGCTAAGTGTGCGATGTATTTTGCAGTTTGTGGTGCATGTTCTAAGTATTTTCAATACAGCACATGTTCTTACTTTGAACTTGGAATATAATCTACCTGCAAAACTGTTTTCCAACAAATGTTCTAACTTTGACTGCGTCATTATATATAATTATGTCAGATTCTCTCAATAGTTGGTTCGGACTGGACCTCTGTGCGTTTGAGGCATCGTATCCATTTATGCTGGTGGGTAGGTTTCTCTTGCAAGCGCAAATCTGGATGGATGACAGTTTGAAAGGTCTCCAACCTTTGCAATCATGAAATGCTTTCCATGGTGAACGAATAATCTTCCGGTCCATACAAAGCAGAAAGTGAGCTTAAATGGTCCAGGAAGCATAATGCTAAGCTGCCCTCTGTACATCAGCTTGTTGCAAACTGGTGGGGTGAACTGCTCCTGGCTTGGCCGTGCTTGTCACTATCCAGTCATTTCTGTAAGATGCCCAGTGGCAAATAGCATTGGTTCTGAAATCTGTCACCTGATCCTGTCTTAGGAAGTAATTGCAATAGCAATTTTTGTAGGAAGCATCTGTCTCTTAGGAAGTTTAAAGTGGATCATGTCAATCTCTCCTTGTTCTGCTCGTACCAGTCCTGGATACCAAGCTCACCGAGTTCTCTGCATACATGCCCAGACGAGATAATCTTTGTATGACGCAAAACCTAGATTTCAACGCTTCTTTGGTCTGGGAAGCTGGACTTCGATGTGATGGAGCCTAAGTACAAGAATGGATCTTTGGAGCTGTGATTAAATCAGCCATTCCAGTCCAAGGTCAGTGCGCGGAAATGCCGCTTGGAACCACCACGCCATCGGTCCTCGCAGACAAGTCAGTGGTGGTACTTCTTACAAGTGACTAGGAGACATGAAAGGGCATCCGCCTTGCCCGCTTGGCGGGAGGCTCCGCAGAATCCAATGCAGGTGGTGCGGCCAACATGACGGTCAGTTGTGGGGTCTCATTTGAGCCAATCAAAGGAAATGACTTCCAGGTTCAAACATCCAATGCAAAAACCCGCAGTTGCTGGTACCAAAAAAACTATTGAGAAAACTTCTTGTATGAATGCTAGGATTGCTTCTCAGCGCGTTGACCAGCAGCTAGCGCACCATGCCAGCCGCACAGCTTGAGTCATGCGAGTGGACACGCCATAGATCCTTTCACAGGAAGCGCCCATCAGTCAAAATAATCATATCACCCAAACATGGGAAAGGGCAGTTTGGCATCATGGGCATCATGTGGCATGAGTCAGCCCTTTGCTCCATACAACAAAGTACTTTTCTCATTTCTGCTAGTCAGGGTGAGTATTGGGACCCTGCTGGTACCAAACAAGTAAGACTTAAGAGATACAGGCGATGTGGGCGATGCGCCAATGGTGGTGCAGTGCGTGCTGGCAATGGCGTGTGGCTGGCTTCCAATACTGTCTTCGCAGGTGTTTCAGTTCGACTAATTCAGGCAACAAACTAAAAACGGAATCTTCAAAGCTCACTAAGCAAAGAAACAGAAAAGAAATGCATGACCCCTGCATGGATCTTCCCATGGTGTTTGTCTCTCAGAACCTCTTGGTCTGTTGTCCCACGGTCACTCCCTGGGGCCCTCACGCGAAGACTGTGAACGTAGCTCCTGTGATACTCATTGCTGCTAGACTGACCTGGCAGGAATGCCATTTCAATATGGAGGTATTCAAAGCATTATGAGCATGAGAGCTGAACGCGTCGTGCCGCATCATGACATAGCTCAGAAAAGCAGGTACATGCTGCAGTCACTGCGTCTATTTTGCTCTCAAGAGACAGACGGAGAGGCAGAGAGAGAGAGAGAGAGAGAAAAAAAAGACAGAGAGACAAAGTCACTGAGAGAGAAAGAGAGAGAGAGAGAGAGACAGAGAGACAAAGAGAGAGAGAGAGAGACAAAGAGACAGAGAGAGAGAGAGAGAGAGACTTTGGAGGTGCCCTCATGCATCAAAATAGGTGATTTATGCTTTGTGGTAGTGTACACGCAAGCGTAGACAGCGCCTTGTGAGCCAAGCTTCCCTCTATTTGAAGGTACCTCGGACTGCAAGTTTTACTGTTCAAGTCCTTGTCTGGTTTCACACAGGGAAGGCATGACTGCTTTTGGACGTAGAGTGGCAAGTTTTGATCCGCATGAAGGACAGCATCACAGGCCACGAATATGAAGAGCAAGCACCTTGCATGCAACTGATGCAAAAAGGAGGCCATCGCTATTAGGTTGGAGTAGGTAACCGAAACTGCAATTGCTTGCTATTGCAAGGGTGCTGATCCCTGACGATGCAACTCTTGCACTGAGGATGTTGCCGCAGCAGGTTCAGTCCTTGCAATTTCATTCAGTAGGTCCAAGATTTGGCTGCCATGCAAATGTGTCATATTAAAAAGGCTCTTTGACTGTAGGACTCAGCGCCTGACCAAGGAAACAATATGCACCAAACTCAAGGCTGCAGCCGCAACAACCTCGTGCAGCCCGGTCTTTTCATGATAATCTGGCATGCATCAACATGCAGCAAGCAGCAAGGCAGTAGAAACATCATAGTAAATATAGTAATAGTATATGCATACTGTATGTGTATATATATACCCCTGTTTATAAGGAGTGGATCTCTAAATGTGTCCGAAACAAAGTGCCACACATTGGGTGGCCGGTCGACAAGACATCGGCCTGTGCAGCGTTGGTACTGGAAGGTTTGATTTGCGCAAAGTGCCGAAGTTTGTCCGGCCTGCTGTTCGCTATTGGATACCAGGATTGTGAGAGGTAGTCACAAAACCAATGGCGTGAGTCTTGAGCCAAGGTGGCGGCACCGACTGATTGCAAAGACCTTTAACTCCAGCCTTCTTGTCACCGGCTGCAGTCAACCATTCACTCACTCATCGAAAGAGAATTTTTGTATAATTGACTCTGATCCGGAAGAGTAGTATCAGAACGAACCCAAACTATCCAAGCATAATCCTTCCAGCATCTTCCAACCACTAAGCAATCCCAGAGTCGCAGGGTGCAATGGCAACATCTTCGACACGTACAGTAGTTGGCAACCCCAGCCTCTGGCTTTGTCAAGCTCTGCGCAAAGCTGCGAGCTTCAATATACCACGTCTGACAGAAAGGTAGCCGTCAAGGTGGGGGTTCCAGAAATGAATGAAAGACTTGTCCAGTTCAACCTCAAATAACAAGAGCCTTGCAATGTATATATATATGTTTCAAGCCTAAGCTTTCAAAGGAAAAAAACTCATAAGATCTCATAAGTAAAGAGGTTGTTCCATGTTGTTCCGTGTGTAGATCACTGGTCCTGAAGGTTGGGATCAAGCAAAACGAGAACGCAAGCGCTCGACACTTTTGTGGCTTTGGAGCTCAAAATATGGGAACTTGCATGCATTTCTTCACCTTCTTTGTGCCAATAAGACTCTAAGAAATGCCAAGCCTGCAAGCTAAGTCGAATGATGTCACAAAGCGATCAGTTCTTTTCCGTGCTCTTTTTGGTGGACTTGTGTTTTCGTGGTAGTTCTGGCAATTCATGCCTTTGAGTGACAACACGAACAAGAAAGAGAATGCAATGCAGTTGTGTGTGTGTGACCCTTGGACCCTTGGGGACATTTGGGCAGTTTTTTGGTTTTGAAAAACTGCAGTGGAGCAGAGCGCGGCATGATTGTGGGACCGCACTCAAGGAAGCTACCACAATCATGGTATACTGAGTCTGATCAACTCGGCGTACCTGCACCAGTTGTTGTGAATGTTCTAGCCATGATTGGGCCATGATTCAGGCCTGCAGATGTGCATTCGTTGTGGAGCTTTAAACTTGCACTCGAAGCCCTGGTCGCTCGCTTTGAGCTTTTGGGAACTCAGAGTACTTTGGACCTTGAAGCCCTTTGGACTTTGAAGGAATTGGACGGTCACACTCCGCTGCATACGTTTATCCTGGTTTACTCTGTCAGGCCAATGTTTCTCACTTAAACTTAGGCTTCTTCTAGGCATTTGGCGGCCTACGTACAAACTCGTATGCCGAGTGTGTGTGTGTGTTTAGTTGTCTAAACTAAACTAAAGCATGAACACTGCCTCCTTGGTGATCCTCTCCACCAGCAGGGAGTCAAAGCCCGCCAGCATGCCCCTGAGCAAAGCAAAGAACATCAGCACAACAATGCTCATTTTCGGTCCAACGAAACACACTTCACAACACTTCTGTCTTTGAAATTCTTTAAACTTTGCTTTCAGTCCCAGAGTGTCGAAAATCCGGACTTCCAGGCTTCGGCAGCATCTGCTTTTCCAGCAGTTGGCTGTACCGACGTTGCAGCTGGATGAGCTCCCATGCGACCTCTCCATCTTGGTATCAGAAACTCTGTCTCAAATCCACAAGGATCCACTCAACTCTCCTTGCAGTAGTTGACCAAGATTAACGTGCTCCAACTGACACGGTAAGACTGTGATTTGATGACTCTGACGCCATTGCAGCTTACAATAACTTCATGGAGTTGAAAGGAACCACGAAAGCTTGCTGTATGGCAAATGAAGCTTACTGTACATGGGCTGAAGACATCACAAAATGTGTAAAACTGCCATGACATTTCCTGCTGAAATCTCAACACTCAAAGACTTAAACATGCTCTGTATTCTTCAACTAGGCCACTCCGCTGAGAACAGCCGGAATTGTCGTCACTCTCAATCTCACCTTCAACCGCGCCAGTTGGATCTGCTGAGCATCTTTGTGAACCTAGGATCTGCTGAGAAATTGTTCCCCCAAAACCTAGTCCCACTCAATTCTACGCCCAAGAGGCCGCAAGGGGCCCTATTGGATTCCCGGCAGCAGACTTCCAAAAGCTTGATGTATATAGCTAGAGACATCTCTAGTAAATCTCTAGAGCTCTTGAGACCGAACCTGGATCACGAGTCACGAACTATGTTTTTCGAGGAGATTAGCTGGTTAGCTCGTTTTCGCACTGCGGTGCTTGCTACACTGGGTTGCGCCGGGGACAAGCTACAGAAAGCATGTCTGTGAATGTGTTTGCGCCGCATGTGACGCAGCGCCGCCAGTGCCACTACACCTGCGCCTCCTGCAGCATCCAAGCCGTCTGCTCCACTTGCCACGCTTACTCTACTAGCGACAGAATGTCCAAACGCAGCGGGCGCACCGCACGCAATGGGTTGCTGGCCAGTGCTGTAGGCGTGTGTGATGAGCGATGCACTCGTGCAATATACAGGGAACATGCGCGCATGTGCAATCATCATGTTGGCATTCCTCCATCATTCATGTGACCTTCAAGACTTGAAGGGGATTCTTGCCAATTCCGGCCAACCTGGGTGAACCAAGTGACCTTCTTGGCCGTTGTCTTCAACCTTGGAAACGGCTGCAGTTTCTTCGCAGAAAAAACATGGGGCGATTGAACGGATGGAGCGGAAGACGCTGATCCCTCTCTCAATGCAAGCTACTCTCTGCTAGACTGGTGTCTACTGCTGGCTATCAGGTTCTGTTATTGTTTTTTTCTTACGACACAGTTGCACGCCCTTATCCGACCCAAAATCTTTGTGTCATGTGGGAAAATGTCCTAGTGATCACCTCATGTTCCCATTGACATATGACATATGTTTGCAAACATTTCCCAAATCGACTCACATCCTGTACTTTTGCAGCAATATCAGCTTCTAAGCGCCTTCCTCATTCCTGAAACTTGAACAAGTAATTAGAGTTACAACGGGATGTAAGTAAAAGGGCTCCAACAAGTGAGGCGAGAAGTTCTGGTGCGTACGTCAATCGCTGGTGAGGTTGCCTGGACACTTTGGCTCTGTGGCCGCGGTGCTGAGTGCAAAGGCTCCAGTACCCACAAGCAACCAAGCGCCCTAAGGTTGGAATGACCAGTTGTTGTGTGCGGCACAAAAAGTAGAGAACCTTCAAAAAATAATTGAGAGGGGGGGAGGATCAAGAGAAAAACTAAGAAGGATCAAAAACATAAAATAAACTCAAAAAACA